TGTCTGCAAGGGGGGTCAAAAAAGTAAAGATGGCGGTTGCCTTTGGGGCAATGCTTCCATTGCACAGTTCTGACTTTTTTGACTTCCCCTTTGATGACACCCCCAAATAGCCGCTTCCTTTTCCCCAGGAGTGCTTGGTTCCAGAGAAACCAAATCCCCCTCAACGCTGACTTTCAGTCGGCCATCATTATGACTTGCAACCCCAGTGGTGGGTCTTGACCTTCAGCAAGGCTTGCACAGCGGGAGAGAAAGACACACGCGTGTGCTGCCTCCCCTCCTAATCTCTCCCCACTCCCCTTTGCACTTGCAAGGCCAGAGTTCAAAGCCAGACTTTGCTGCACATTCTTGAGGTTCAGTTCCTGGCTTCCCCAAGGTCTGGGAGAGATGTTTGCCCAGTGCTGGTCAGGAAAGACAAATCTGGGCTGGACAGATGAAGTAACACACACACACACACACACATTGCCCCGGAGACAGCTTTCCACGCCCGCTGTAGCAAGCACAAATTCCATTTTACCCACAGTGGTAGCAAAGGTTTCCAGCTGCAACTTAGAACATATTTGCTTTGTAAGGCCACAAATGAAACAGCTGTTCAACGCACAATCCTTTTGCCACACGATTGTTTCTCGCCAGCAGTAGTGTCTTGGACTACCCCAAATGGATGTGGGGCAAGCAAGCAAGCTCTTCGCCTGGCTGCAAATCTTAAAAAGGTTGAGTGACCCTTTCCAGGTGTGCAGATTTTGCTCTCCTGCAAGTTTCCTATTTCCTGCAAGATGAATGCACCAAGAATCTTAAATTCCCTTTAGAAAGTAAAGAAGAATTTCTCCTCAGGCAAATTGCACTACGCTTCCCTTGAGTTGGGTTCAAGCCACAAGCTTAAGTCCGAGGGACTACATTTGAAAATGTGCTAAATTTGAATTGCTTTGTGTGTGTGTGTGAGTGTGGGTGTGGCTTAGCATGTTGAGGGAAGCCAACCCAATGGATTGGTCTCATTCCATGGTTTTGTGCAAATTCAGAAAATGGTTTAATTCAGTATCCGCAGCATAACAGATACTGAATTAAACCACGTTCTGAATCTGCACAAAATTGCACAGGAGTGTCCGCAGGGTATAGTTAAAAAAAAAAAAAATCAAGATGGCAGCCTTGATGACGCAATCAAGGTTCCAGCTGGTTTTTATGGATATATCCTGCAGACATCCTTGTAAGTTTGTGTAATCTTACATACTGGGCCAGGAAAGTCATAGAAAGCCACATTAATTTCTCTCCCTATCTGGCTTGCGAACCCCCCAATACCCACTAGATGGAGCCCAAGAGAATCAGAAAGCTCTCTTTCCTGCCCTCTGGTGGTCATCCAAAATTTGCGGCCAGGTCCAGCTATCTTCTTGCCATCTATCTGACTTCCGGGTGAGGAACAACTTTTGCTGAAGATCTCAGGAAGAGAAGGACCGATGGCAAGCCAGGATGCTATACATCTCCCCTCTTTTCTCCAAAATACTGACCAAATATTTTGAATGTGAAGTATGCCCCCCAGAGGGTAAAAACTTGGCCAGCACCTTAAAACACGAGCCCTGCTAGATCTAATCAAGAGCTGTTCTCATCTAGTATCCTGCTGCTTCTAACAGTGGCCAGATAGATGCCTTTGGGAGGCCCCCAACAAGCTGGGAAGGAAAGGTCTTACGCCATCAGTTGCCCACAGCATCTGCTATGAAGAGCTAGACCCCCTCCCACCACAGCCTGGCTTTCTCCCCAAATTTCTCTAATCCCTTTTTAAAAGCATCTCACCAACAGCCGTTGCTATCGTGGCTCAGAGCTTAGTTGCACGCGCGCACACACACACACACACACACAGTCAAAGCCATCCAAATCACACCACCTGAATCACAGGGAGCTATTCATTTTTCCGCCCCTCCTCATTACTCGGATGTTAACGGCGCTCCGACATACCGTAATTAGCAGGTAATAATAAACAGCCACATCCGTGCATTGTTATCTATCAAGCCGTACTTGGAGACCCAGCTAGAAAAAGTGGGGAAAAACTGGCACTTAGGCCTGTAACAGGATCAGGAGAAAGGCACTTCCCAAAAGAATTCTATATAATTCTGGGGAAAAAAGAAATACGTTTATGCTGTTTTTTCTCAGCATGGCATTTGGAGGTCTCTTTGGTTCCACATTTCAAATGTCTTGGCACAGATTGCATTGTTTGTCTGGCACTTATGCAAGATAAAATGCATTACTCTCCTCCTCCTCCTCCAAGGAATGTTGATCTAAAAAATTGGCCAAATTTTAGATTTGAATTAGCACAGCACTGTCGCCTGACACAAGCTGGTGGCTATTTGTAGAAGGGAGACAGTTCCAATTTTGCCATGATAAAGATCCTCAAATAGAAATTCCTACCCTGTTGAACTTCAGAGAGTAGTAAATGTCTCATAAAAAAGGAAAAATGCAAAGAATTAGATATGATGCAGAGGAGAGGAGGAGAAGGGAAGGAAGAGAGAGGGGAGAGAAAGAGAAGGAAAGGAAAAGAAGAGAGACAGGAGGAAAAGAAGAGAAGGGAAGGATCAGATATGGAAAGGAAAGGAAAGGAAAGGAAAGGAAAGGAAAGGAAAGGAAAGGAAAGGAAAGGAAAGGAAAGGAAAGGAAAGGGACTGCAATTGTTCTTTAATCCAAGAACAGCCTCCTGATCAGCAAAAGCGTTCTGACCAACTGTTTGTCGCAGTCTCCTGGGCCACCTGAAGCTTCTGAATCCTTCCTTGTTCAGATTCAGCAACTCCAACCCCGCTCTGAACCTAAGGCCTGCTTTCTGGTTCTCACGTGGAAGACCTAGAACGTCACCACGTCAAGTGCCTCTGCAAATCTGTGCCAGGACAAGAAGGCACCATCCTCATCCTTCGACTTGCTGGGTTGCTCCGTGAAGCTGAGGAGTTTCCACTCCTGGACAACTTCTTCGTAACCCTCTCGACAGGAGGGATCCTCATATTGCTGGAGAGCTTTTCCCACCGTAAGAAACCTTCCACTTTTTCTATTCGGACCATTTCCCCCACATTACGTTGTCAAAGGATGGAGTGTTGCACACGGGCATGGTCATAGGCTAGCAAAGGTCCACTCCCATGACTTCATGGACACGTCTGTGCAGCTTTCTTGACAAAAGGTTGGAAGAGTTTTGCGACTGCTTCTGCTGCTGTTGTTTTTTAAGCTTCCCATTCTAGCCCCCGAGCCTGGTAATAGTTATTTCTTCATGGTCTCCCATCCAAGGACTAACTCACAGCCCAGGACTGGCCAAGCTGTATTTTTCGAGAGTAGCCAAGGTCTACCAGCTGCTGCTATGTTCTAGGAGGCCTTCCAAAAATTGCCACTACCCTGTAATTTTTAATGTGACAGAAGGGGAAATTATTAAATTTACAGGGACTAATCATATTAATTGTATGGAATTCAGTTTAATGTTAATGGCATTTCAGAATAATTAAATGAAATGTTCTGGCCTATCCATTTTCTGAAGTGCAGCTGTTAGGATGCTAGTGGCAAAAATGTTCCTCATCTTAACCAAAATTGTACAAGTCCCAGATCCTGGGTGTGTACGTGGCTTGGCTGGCTGGCTGGCTCTTCCGGGCCTCACTAAATTCTCTCAGCTGAACTGAAATATATGCTGAGCATTTCTAGTAAAAGTTGCTAATTCTGAATTACCTGCTCTTCATATCCCCTCTCATCCAAAAGAAGCAGACCCAGGGAGGCTTCAGCATTGCTAGCACCACCATCTAAAAAATACCCCTTGAAGATCCGGCTGTCGGCTGATGCATTTTATCTCTGCCTCCTACACACAATTCGGGGAATATCTCCCGCAGAACATTAAAACCCCAACAGCCTGCAGCCTTCTTCTTTACATCCAAAATGTAAAACTTATGATGGGGTGGGATGAGAAACGTTTCGTATATTTGTGAATGGGAAAGAACGAGAAGATCTGGGAAAGATTTGCCATCAGATCTAGAGAAGATCCAACAGGACCAGATTTCCCTCCTTAATTAGGCATTTCTCCTTCTCACCACCATCAAAGCACACTTCCCCAAATTTCCACCCTTCTTTTGACTGTTGTATCACCAGTTTAGATGATGGGTTATGTTTCCTCCCTCTAGAACCTGGCTAACCACTGGCCCAGGTTGCCTTCTCCAGCCTCTGCTTCTCCTCTTGCCACAAAACTAGATGGCCAGCAAAGCTGGCAATTCATTGCCCATTCCACTAAGAGTTGCCAGCTTTTTTCCCCGGCCTTGTTCCTGCGTCTTTAACGACAACCTCGCACGTAGAACCGAAGCAGGGAAAAGTCACAAATCTCTTTGCGCCCTGTGTAGCTAAAGGCGGGGTGAGTGTGTGTGGAGGTGACAAGTCTATTAAGGAAAAATAGAATTGCATTTTTTTCTCCTCTCCCTCTGTTTCTTTAGCACAGCAGAACAAAAAGAGAGAGAAAGCTATGCTTCGTTGCTCCCTCTCATACAAGCCTGAGAAAAAGCAAACCAGCCCCCGGGGACAGAGGGTTTGTCAATCAAAAAATTGACAGCTAATATGACTATGACCATTTGCAAAAGCACTCAGCGCTCACTAATGGCCGGTAGTTCACGCCGCTGTCAGGTTAAAGAATTCTGCAGTGCAGACTTAGGCCTTTACTCTAAACCAGTGTTTCTCAACCTTGGCAACTTTAAGACCTGTGGACTACAACTCCCAGAATTCCCCAGCCAGCTTTGCTGGCTG